CCTGTTACATCTGGCAAGGTCCTTCTCCCATCTCTACGGGGACAAGACATTGGACAGCCCCACAGCATAAAGGGGTCCCCTCCTAGAAAAGCCAGCTCACCCCTATGCCATGCCAATGACATCGCCATCCCTAACACCTGTAAAAACATTTACTGTTTTCCAAATGACAGCTACACACTGGAAACGCTGTTCCATGCTGCCCAATCGACTTCAACCACGTTCCTGGGCCTTAAGTGACATTATTCCCATTGCAGAGGAGGAAACTGAGGCTGTGTGTAGGTAAGTGTCACTACAGGTGAGGAAACAGGCTCAGGGAGGTGGAATGGCTAGTTCAAGGCCACAGAGCTGGTGACCAGCATCAGGTGGACTCCCCGTTCAGGGCCCTCACCAGCATCCGAAAACGCCTCTGCTCTGCCTCCCAAAGGTGAGGCACTGGGGGACTCGCACGAGTGTCCTGGCCAGCCCTCTCTATGTCCCCATCCACACACAGGTTCGAATCCCGGGAGTCTGCAAGCACAAGCGACTCGAAACACCCAACCTCACGATGGACGGGTGGGGTGCTCTTGACACCTTGCTTGGGTAAAGTGTTCGGGTGCCAGAAGGGTCCCAGTGGGAAAACAGTGAAGTCGGGGAAGGAAGTGCATCCCAAGAGAAGGGCTGAAGCCCCCAGCAGCCTGGTGCACCCCTCAGTCGTAAGGGGGAGCTCCCCCTTGGTCCACCCAGCTACCACATTCCCCCTCCTCCTTCCGGTGGCTGGACCGTTTCAGACCTTTCCCAGGAGACTCTTCGCCACACTCCGTGCCCAGCAGGCCGGCCCTGCCCTCACATCTGGGCCCATGCAGCCCCACAGCCCAGCCCCGGGACTTTGCACTCACCCGGCACATTCCCGAGCAACTCCTCCTCTGTTCCCACTCTGTCCGGACGCTCCTGAACAAATGCTGCCTCGCCCTGAGCACTGACCCAGCCACCTCCGAGGCCATCGCCAGCCCCTTAGGGAGCAGGCGTTACCTCCAAAGAGGTGTTCATTTATTGAGCAAACCTGTCGTGCCATGTGATCCTGACATCACCCCCATTCTACCGATGAGGAAACTGACACACAAAGGCCCCCTGCTAGTACACAAGACTAGCCCATGTAGTGTGACCCAAGAAAGGTATGTCCAAGTTGTGACCCTTGGAATCTGTGTGCAGAATTTTATTTGGCAATAGGGTCTTTGCAGATGCAGTTAAGGATCTCGGGATGAGGTCATCCTAGATATGCAAGTGGGCCCTAAATCCAATGTCTAATGTCCTTACCGGAAGAAACACGCAGACACTAGGGTGAGACAAAGTGAAAACAGAGACAGAGATTGGAGCTTTGCTGCCATAAACCAGGAAACAACTAGAATGTGCAAGAGGGAAGGAAGGATTCTCCCCTCGGACATCTGGAGGGAGCGTGGCCCTGTCGACACCTTGATTTCAGACTTCTGGCCTCGAACTGAGAAAATGTATAGAACAACATTCATGTTGTTTTAAATCATTAAGTTTGTGGTAATATGTTTTGGGAGCCCTGGGAAATGAATACACCCAGCTTTGGTCACTTCCAGAAACCATGCTCTTAAGCCCAAGCCAAAGTTACTTATGCATAAAGGCAAAAAAAAAAAAAAAAAAAATTCTTTCAGACCCCTGAAAATATGTATCATCTGAGACTGAGGATCTCTGTTTGAGAAATGTGGGCATTCTCCTCTTTAAGAAAGTTTCAGTTACAAATTACCTCTTTTTTTTAATTAAAAAAATTGCTAACCTCCGTATTGTTCCAACTTTAGTATACATGCTGCTGAAGTGAACAATACAAATTACCTCTTAAAAGAGAAGAGTCTTTACAACTAGTAATGCTTTCAGGATTATCGACAAAACACAAACACAAAATATACAAATTTTCCAGGGGTAAGATGATAAGAACACGGGAAATTGGACGTGGGGTATATGGGAACTCTCTGTACTATGTTCCCTAGAAATCTACAAATCTAAAACTGTTCTAAAACTCTTTTTTTAAAAGTTGTTTTTAAAAAGATACCAAATCTTCCATCCAGCTCATGTTAAAAAAAAAAAAAAACCCAACTGTCCTGGAACTCCTCTAAGGATAAATAAACCTTGGGACCCCAGTTTGAGAAACGATGCCCTACTTTGTTCTGCCTGCCAAATGAATGGGCTTGCTTGTGATCTGGGGTCCTGCTGAACTTAAGTGTCCTGAGCTCTGAAACCCACCTGAGATACCCTTCTTCTGTCCCCTCATCTGGTCCATGAAGACCCCAGATCTGCCCCAGGAAAAAGATGCATCACACTTGGGTGACAGCCACAATTTCTTTAGTTCCTGTTTTCAAAGCCGAGGAGCCAGGAGAACCCCATGTGAACCAACTGCTCCCCACGCTTCCTTTTGGATCAGCCCCCTTCCCAAAGTGGCAAACATTCACACGGGCCAAAGCCAGCAAAGGCCTCCTGAGTGGTTCCCTAGAGCATCAGGCACGAAACCCTGCGAGACAAAGCCGAATGAAACAGAATAGCAAAATGTGCACGAGGAATCTGAGAGTGCAGATAAGAAAAGAAAGAGTAACAAGAGAAAGAAAAAGGATGAACTACAAAGACTCGGAGGGGGCTTGGCAAGCACATTTGTGACCCCCCCCCCACTGAAATGTCAGTTTTGAAAAGCAGCTTTGGAAAATGTAACCAGCTTCTCTCATGCCCAAAACGAAGACAGGAGGAGCGTGGCGTGGCTAGGGAGGTGGCCGTGTTACCTCTTACTTAGGAGCCCGGCACCAGGAAGGGGCCCTATCCTTCCACGTTTCCACAGGGAGCACCTCCTGTGACTCGCACCATCCCCGAACCGGCCCGATCCCCAGGTCTAGAAGTTTCCCACTCGGGGGTCCTGCACACCAAGCCCGGCAGCTGGGTGGAACCCGGTCCTCCCGGGCGCTCGAAACTAGAAATCACTTTCCAACTGTCCTTAGCCCTCCCGGGGGTCCCCAGAGATGGCCACGGGCCGCCCACACCCCTCCCTCCTCCCCGCCGAGGCGGCCACACCCGCCCCCAGACTCCCACCTCTTCGCGCACCCCAGCCCTCCTTCCCTCCCACCGG